TTTGTTCATTTCCCAGCTGTCTGATGGTCATTTGTTTACACTCAAGATCAGAAGTGAATAAGATTGTTTATTCACCCATCGTGGGCTTGCGTTGGTTCAAGTTTGATCAATTTGCAGAAGAGAAATATTTATCTTGCGTTTGCCGTCTTCTTGTATGCAAATCTGTCATAACCGTCGATAAAGAACAAAATACCACCAGTTGAGTGTTGACAGCACCTTGGTAACCTTATGAGCGGGACAAATTTATAGCATTTGTTGTGTTTATTCCGCGATGGCGTCACCGACAAAGGCCTCTAGAAGTCGAAAGTTACCATCTCCAAGAAGCAACGACTTGCCTTACGGAACTTATCAAAAGTACACAAAAGATCCCCAGGATGGGAGTGCAGATAATGGGTCGTCACTTCAGGAGTTTGGCAAGTTATTGAGTTTACTACTTTTGTTATTTCTTTAAGATAAACATTAGCAGTGCTAGTACCATGTATTGTCAGGGGTGTAGCTAGAAATTTTCCAGACTGAGGTACTCACAGTTTTGCAAGTTCACCATCTTCGGCTTCCCTCTACCAAGTCGATTCCATGCAGATGACCTAATGCTTATAATTTTTGCATTTTACTCAGGTAATTGCACTATTTTCCAGCAATCCCTTATTTACCCTCTGTTCATTTGCTTTGTTTTTGCTTTTTACTCATCCTTGACATTACACAGGTACAGTAGCTATGTACAATGTATGCCACTTATTGTGTATGTTACATGACTTTCATATATCTGTCCGCAAATTAATGGTATTCTCACAGCCAATCAGATTGTGCATTTGTGATAGAATTCTATCACAAACGCACAATCTGACTGGCTATCCTACTAAGAGAGATGAGATAGAAATAGTGGACGAAGTTCATTTCAAACCAGGGTTTGGCTCAAGCAGTGTGCAGCATCCTAATGACTTGATTTTGCCCTTTAACAACTGGAAAATATCAGTTTCTGGACAAAACTTGTATGCGGAGTAACCTGGATTTCATAGGTTAGAGATCAGGGCAGAATTGCAGTGCCAGCATTAGTCTGTGCCAAAGATGCTGTTATTCACTGATCAATTTGAAACCTCAGTATTCTTCCTAGGCATCCCTCTGGACATTTGAACATTTTAAAACAAGTCTATTCAAATTCTCTTTACATTCGTCCAATGAAGTGGTCAAATACCGCTCCAAAAGAAAAAATATTTTGCAGATTGTGAATTTGAAAAATAGACAAGTGAATTTTCTAGACATCGCATGATGTTGATCAGCAATTGAACTTTAAAAACCCATATATGTAGCTTTTGATTAAGTCCTTGCCAAAGAAGCCAGTCATTTAAAAAGCTGTTTCTTTACCTTTAAACTGACCTCCATCTCACTCTTAGAAAGGTCATATAGGTCTATCAAACTACGTTGTCAAACCTGGATCGTTCAAAGATGAAGTTTTGAATTGATTGTTGCTAAAGTTGTTTGTATTTGTAAATGTAATAGGTCAAATTTGATTTCAGGTTACAATAATATTTTTTAACCTGTGTTGATTCTCAATTTCCTTTGTCTTCTAGGGCAGGAATACAAAGGATATATCAACCTAGGTTAAATCAAAATTAACCTGAAATCAAATTTGACCTGTAACATAAACAATGGACAATGAATACATAAATAATTTGAAAGACTGCTAATAAAAGTTCAGTCTGTGGTACCTAAAGAGACACAGATGTAACAACAGCTTGATGTCAAATAATGACAATGATAAAGTACTTTTATAATGAAATATTGATGCGATTTTTTAGATTCGGATGAAGCACCAACTAAAGATACAACACTTAACAGTGCTAAATCTCAGTGGAAACCTCATTGAAAGTCTACCTTCCTCTTTGTTTAAGAAGCTTAGGGAGCTACAAGTTTTTCATATTGCACACAACAAACTTGGCAGTGTAAGTATCGGTATACTATAAGGCCTAGATCAATTTAGGTTCCTGGGAAACTGTCCACCTACCCCTCCCCTAAGCTAACATTAACACTTACTTCTCACGTAGGGAAAAATGATGGCTTAGGGTAGGGGTAGGTGGGTTCGTCATTGCATTATTTGTGTTCCTAGACAAGAAACTTTGCTTCATTACATGTACCATAGAATCCCACTTTCCTTTTTGGTTTGCATATTATTATAAAAGTAGTTTTGTAAAACCTTGGGCCTTCAGGGTTCTAGAAATCAAAATTCTACTGTAACAATGTACAGGTAAAATATGTCAGGCTCACAGATAAGAGAAAGATGCCAGTCTCTGTTATTCAGCGCCTTGGATTTGCTTTTAATTCTCCTGATACTGGGACATGCTAGACACAATAACATGTACTTTTACCTTCCAAATTCTCCTTAGCATATGCTTCAAAAGCTTTTATGAGTAGTTTTCTAGAATTATTAATTACTTGGAAATTGCTTGTCATCTTTACATAGATTTTATTGAATGATGTTCAATCAGTATCATTTTTTTGAGTAATGTACCAATATCAGCTTTAATACAAAATCTGTATGTTTGTCTTGCAGTTGATTGAGGTCACCAAACTAAGATCTCTGCAAGATCTGGGTAATTTCTCAATGGGAGGTAATCCTATGGCTCTTATGGAGCATAGTCAGCAATTTGTCATATTTCAGTTGAGGTCGCTAACAAAGTTGGATGGCAAAGAAATCACTGAGGATGACAGACTTATGGCTGATGAAAGGTTTGCCCAAGGTAAATATTTTTATATTCACCTGCAGCTGTTCTTTCACACACTGCATACATGTAGTACCGTAAATCCTCTATTAAGCCCCCCATGTCAAATATGCCCTCCCTCTCTAATACACCTTCCCTTTTCAGGGGAAGGAAGTAAATAAGCCTCCCTCTCCTCCCTCTCTTTTAAGCCCCCCCTTCCCTCCCCCTTATTATTATTCACTAATACATGATGGACTATGGGTATTAATCAATCAGGTAGTCACAAGTCACGGTGATTAAGTCAGAGTGACTAACATCAATTTTTTTTTATTGCAATATCAAAACAAAAATACAACATCAGGAGAAAAGGTTAGGAGAACTGATAAAATGATCACCAGAGGAGAAATACTTCGATCTTTTATCAAATTCTCTCCACTAATACTTTAAGCGGATGTATGGAGATCAGTCAGTAGAATCTGTATTATCTATTAGAAGTTGATAAAATTACTTTGTTTACAGAGGAAGTGCGGAGATTGGAGAATGAAATAAATCGCCACAAAAAAGACTTTGATTCACTGCTTCAGGAGAAGCAGCAAGCTTTGGAAGAGTTACAGAAGTTAAAAAAGCTTCATTCTGAACAACAGGAACAAAGCTTGAACCAGTCACTGAAGATTAAAGAACTTCGCGGGCAGTTGGAGGCTAAAGAAGAATTGGTAGGAAACTAGCCTGAGAAGAACAGCCGACATTTCGTGTCGCTACCTTCGGTTTCCCCGCGCATGACGTCTGAGCAACGAGCGCAGAAATTCCATACTGATGACGCGTCACTACCCAGATCTGGGTAGTGCTTCTTACTGGGAAATTTACTTCAACCAATCAGAAGCGCTTCCGTTGGGAAACCAGTGGTGGCGTCGCGAAATGTCGGCTGTTTTCTCAAGCTAATAGAAAACCAAATTCATGCTACCCGTTAGCCGTAGTCACGCAATAGTCTAGCTCTTGTAATTGCGACTAAAGGTTTCAAATTAATGAACACTAGAGAGTCAGTTGGACTTTTATCAAGCTGGAGATAGTTGCTTCTAATTTTTTAGTCAGATAAATACGTTGACCCTTTTTATCTCAATTAATTTAGATTAAGATCATAATTTATGCTATAAAAGGAAAAATTAAGAATTAATCATTTCACAAACACCTTTCTTAAAACTTGACAAAAACTACTGGTTGTTAACCTACGTTGCGTTTTGTTTCGAATGGCTCTGGGAAGTGTAACCTCCGCACACCTTTTACTTCAATGGTAAACTGCTGTCGTTAACCAATGTCACATTATTTTCTTTCAATTCCAGTTAGCAAGCAAGACAGCAGAACTGTCCAAAGCGTGTGAGAAACAGTTCAAGCTGGAGCAGGAACTTGCGTTTTATAAACTGGATGCCAAGTTTGAACATCTTGGAATGTTACCCCTGCCTGATGGAGTGGAGGTAGTTGTATAATTTAGCTAGCTGTTAACTTTTACAATGTAGCTAGCTGTACTGGCCCATTTAAAAATAAGTAGCTTACTGGAAATAAATCATAGGCAAATTTCAGAGACAGGCAGAGCTCTTATAAAAAATTCAAAATCACGTCAGATATCCCTCCAGATGCTGACTTTGTAAGTCTTCGTTGATAACTGATTACTCATTTAGCGCAACATTATCAAGAAAATAAGAAGAGCTGTGCTGTAGTTGTTTATAGGTCAGCATTAACATTGGCTTGCTTCTATGTCCTCAACCACCCCTTCCGCCCATTCAGAACTTCTACAATTCGTGCTTAAAAGAAAAAAAAGCTGGCTACGCCCCTCGCCTCTGCCTCTTCTTTCGCTGACTATTTATGCACTGTATGAGTTGGATGGAAAGAGATAAAGAGAAAGTGCTAATCAACAATGTTTCTCTACATGACTATAATAATGCATGACTTACAAGAACATGTAGCCTTAGTTCGGAATAGGTAAAATAGAAATGTTGATTACTTTTCTTTTATTCCATGACTGTTTCTCTGCCGTTTTGTGCGTGGTTTTCTGGTCAATTTTCCAATGTTAAGAGGGTAGGCCAATAAAGTAGGGTTCTTCAATCGCGTCGTTCCAGTTCAAATTTTCCTTCAATCCCGTAATTCCGACGGTTATTACCGGCTAATCCCGATCCGGCCCTAACATACCTACTGAAACGTACCTTGCAGAGGTTTGATATTACCTCGTCTCGTGAGAACCGGACAAGTGAGTAGACACGTAAAGGGTCGAGGAAATTTTGGGCATTTTTTTGCGTGAAAGAGATTTTTGCAACATTGAAAAAAAAGTTTCCTTTCCTTACCGGATCAGTTCTTCTGAAAAACCTCTCCCGAATCCCGCTCTTAAAATCGCTAAATCCGCATACCGATCATAATTACAACCCAAATCTCGCCCCCGAATTGAGTCGCGGCCTTCAAATAGTGCAAATCCCGAATCCTGAAAAACCTGTTGGGAACCCCCTGTTAACTATGTTTTTTTTCAACTGCTCACGTTCCAGATATTGATAATCAAATTTCAAACCAGGGATACCTGTGTAGCTAAGTGCTTCGACGACTGGCCCTCGGGTAACCCAGCGCTTCCATCATTGGCCTGAGATCCACAGACACTAACTAGTCCATGTAATTGTTTCATTTCTTCTTTTTAAATTGTAGTTTGGAGACGGAGAAGAAGATGAAAGCCCTTATATCGGAAAGGCAAGGTTTAAACCCAACAAATTTGCTAGGCAATCCAACGTTGTAACTGGTGGGCAACAGGCACAAATTATGACCGTGGGCTCAAGACCAAGTGATAGGTACAATGAGCAAAACAAACAGCTTCAAGAGGAGTTGCATGAATCACTTCTCCTTGATTTGCAAGACAAAGAGAGAGAAATTCACCAAGGTAGGCATTCCGAAGGTTTTGNAAGACCAAGTGATAGGTACAATGAGCAAAACAAACAGCTTCAAGAGGAGTTGCATGAATCACTTCTCCTTGATTTGCAAGACAAAGAGAGAGAAATTCACCAAGGTAGGCATTCCGAAGGTTTTGTGAGTTAGATCCCATAGTACCAGTGTATATCTTTGTATTTAACCAAACCGGGAAAACGTAATTTCCGAAACAGCAATAGCTGGTCGCACATTGTAATTTGGGAGAATGAATTTTGAACAGTGTGAAGAAATTCTTTGCACCGGTGATCCTGCAAAAAAGTAACGAATGAACCAATGTCAGTCAAGACGTACATGTAAGTGGAAATGTAGTAATGCTCGAGTGCTACATACTTGAGTGACAGCTTTGTC